TTATTTATTTATCTATATAATGATCAAGTAAATTTTGTCATACATTCGTATTTGTTTCGTATTTCGAATAACATTGTTSAACAAACATATTATTTGTTTTTCGATTTTACCTATGTACAACAACTTAAAAATTACAAAAATTACAATATGCAACCAGTCGGCGCGTTAATAACGTTCTAACAATAAAAATATATACAAACAAATAAAATACACGTAATGACTAGTCTTTTGTTTCTTTAAACTCTTATTAAAGTAAAATATAATAATAATAATAATAATAATAATAAATAAATAAATAAATAATAATATTATATAATGATAATAATAATACAATAATTAGCCTAAATTTTTTTTTCAAATTTTTTAAAAAATGGACATTTTATAAATTTATTARTTATTTCCGAATAATATTATTACGTAATATACATGCGTTCGCTATGCTCTACTGTATTTTCGATTGATAAAATATCGTTAATAATAATAATAATATAATAATATGATTATTTATAAATATTTATTTTAACAAAACGAGGGAAGAAAAGATACAGTCGTAGCGCGTGATCGTCGCTAACGATAGGGACCGAAAAATCTAACACATTAATGCCACATAATATTATTATCATTATTATAGCTGAAGTATAACATGTACATAATATATGCGTTGTGTATAATATGACCACACGATAATTTATTAAATCAGATTTTTTTTTTTTTATTCTCAATCGATTTCGCGAAGTCATWTAGGACATTCTAAGGCTTTCCTACTTAAACGCCCCGTGTATATACATACACTTACAACAAACAAATCGAGAATTCACTGCGGTCGAGGCACACGTCACGTGCATGATAGCAATACCAATCGATGTCACGATTACGTTTGAATAATAATGTCGATATGATGCCCACACGCGAACGGTAATAATAATATATTGGACATCGATCAGGTTTTCGATGGGTATCGTATCGTCACCCGTCACTTGGCCAACCTCAAGTGTGCGTGTATTTGAATATTAAATTATGATAAAATATTATAACGGCGGTCGGGAGTTATACATTTTTTTGACAGGTACCTATAGGTTATAATATATAATATGTTATGCGATATACGCACATAACAACAATAATATTATATCGATATTACTTATTATTGTAATAAGTACACATAATTATTATTAAATAGGAAGACAGTACTGGCCGTCGCGATGATGACCACACACACTACAACACAATATTGTATACCGCGGTCGTGGTATATACATCAACTACCACCACGTTCTGGGCGTCTGGCCGTGCATCAGCGGATGCGAGTACGACGGCAGCACCATCTGTTCGGCCTTACCGCCGGCGCCAGGCTGCTGGTTGGTGCACGGCTTGCCGTCTCGGACCAGCACGGGCACGGCGACCCGCCTCGGCGAGGACAGAGCGTTGGCCGCGGCCGMCGCGTGATGTTCAACGTGCATGCCCTTCTCCTGTTGCGCGCGTTTCGTCTTGTACCTGTGGTTCTGGAACCAGATTTTCACCTGAAACAATGAAACACACGGAAAAGTCAGTCCGGATGTAGCGATGAGACGAGCTGCAGAACGGATGATGTCCAATATATGCATAAAATACGCGTTTAGGCCTGATACTACAGTGGAAAATCGGAAGCCCCTTATTGCGTGGCAACTGTAAATAGGAACGCGAAACGAGCCAGTATAGTTGTGTCATCCTTGCATGTATATAATGATGTTGACTATTTTATTATATTTTATTCCCAACTATAACAACAATCTTGTACAGTGCGATCATAGCCTTGTGATAGAATACCTACGTAACCGTATACCATGCCGATTCGATACCGTATGCATAGATAGCATACGTATATTATATAATTTTATTCATTGCAGGACAAGCGTATCTGGGTACAAGGAATAATATGTGTGTAAGTTCTGAGTTAGAGCGACAACATTTCAGAGGTGGCCGATTTTGACGTAAAAATAAACTCGTAATAGGGTATCTGCAGTGTATCAAGACAACATTTCAATATTTTACGCAGTTATTCAATGAAAGATTTACCGTTCCAATAATGAGTAATATTTGGTTTGTGTTTCGACTATTTTTCAAAAAAACAAAAAAAATGTAAGCTTTAATAATATTGATTATTAATTAGTAAGTATATAATGTATATAGGTATGTATGTAAGTTTGATTTGGGAAAATACTGAAATTGGCGAAAAATTGGGGAAAAACATCAGACTACGTATAATATAATATAATAAATATATTATTTCGTCCCATTCTTAGACGTGGCCATATGATAGAGTTATCGAACACTGAAATTATGCTGTCGATATAATAGGCCATTTTTGAATAAAAATCTTAAAACGTTAAGGGTGGTTAAGTACCAATTCGGTGTTCCCCTTTGCCGTTCAACCGCACCCCTTATCGTTATTAAAACGACGTACGTACCAAAATCACCGTTCCCACGTCATTTTTGTCACACACGTTTATACAATAAATGTTATTGAATTTTTCGGCGTKCAACATCACCAATAATGTTGCCAATTTGATATAGACAGTTAGCGAAGTACGAAACTAATTTAACGCCATTTTATATGCTATAAAATAATATGTAACACGCGATCTGATGAGTTTTGATATTTTATAATATT